TCTCTCTCTCTCTCTTTAAAAAAAAGAATACAGCTAAAGAAGCTAGAAAAAGCAAGGCAATGGATTCTCCCCCCTAGAACATCCAGAAGGATTGTGGCTTTTCTGACACCTTGATTTTTGACCCAATAAAACTGATTTTGAACTTTTGACCTCCAGGATTTATAAAAGAATAACTGCAAGTTATTTTAAGCTGCAATGGTTTTGGAAATTTTTTTACAGTAGCCATAAGAAAACAATATAGGAAACTTCAGAGATAATCTTCTCTACTTATTTTCAGTTCTCAAAACTTCTTCCATCTCTGCTTCAACTCAAGCTACCTAGCTTTGGTCTTTCATATTTACGGCCTTCTGGAGATATTTCATTTTTTGAAACATGGCTATATGGGATTAAACAATAAAATCACTGATTTAGTCAAGTACACAATTTTATACATAAGGAAAAATCTCAGAAAAGTAAAATGATTTTCCCTTACTCAATCAGAAAATACAAATGAAAAAGTAAAACACAGGTTCTTTACTCTCAATTAAATCTTCTAATGTCATGCTATTCTAGAATCAAAAAAGTAGACTGAAGATAAATTGTTGAAGAATAAATAAAATAATATATGTAAGAAGCTTTAAAAAGTCTCTGGCACATAAACATGCATAAATATTAATTATTATTAATACATGCATGCTATAAAATCTATTTTATAATGTATTAGAATATGTCATATTTATATTATATGAAGACTGATAAATGTTAATTATTATTATAATGTATACCCAAATAAAACACAGAATATTTCGGGAAGTAAACACAAAAAATCTGATAATAGTTTCTTCTGGGTATGGAAAATCAGACACAGGGTGAGAGAGAAACCAACTTCACTATATGTCATTTCTAACCATGCACATTTTTATGTATCTATCTATCCTTCCATCCTTCCATGCATTCATCCCTCCCTCTCAAAAGGATGAACAGGACTAAATGGAGTTAGCTTTCCTTGTTTAGTATCAAATTCCCAACTCCTCCATATGGAAGCTCAAAAGAACCAGTTCAAATCCCTATGAAATCAAACAGATTTAAATTATAAAGAAAAGTTTCACTTTAGAACATCCATCAACTCCTTTGTGGTCACCACAGAGATCCCTTTAAGCACATTTGCCTCTTAAGATACTGTGATTTCCAATATTAAGATTCTTTAATTGTATTCATATTGGAAAATCAAATTAGAAAATCTAATTAGGCAAGGCCCTTTGCCTATTTATTTGATATACAACTTTTACCTTCCCATAATCTATTCTTTAGACTGTCTGTTCACATGATTAGAATACTTGATTAATTCCCCAGATTTTCTGTGGTGACCCACTTCTAGCCAAAGTGAAAGTATCACTCTGTTTTCATTTCTTCAAGCACCCTTGGTAAATTGAAAGTAGGTATTTGTATACTTTTATTCCTCTTGTTACTTTCTAGTTTTATTCCATTGGGGTCTGAGAAGACAATGATATTATTTCAGTTTTTTAATATTTATCGAAAAGATTCTATCCTGAAGAATGTTCCATGTGCTATTGAGAAGAATGCATATTCTGATTCTATTAGATGAAAAGTCCTATAAATATCCCTTAGGTCCATTTGCTCTATAGTACAGTCCACTTAAAGTGTTTCCTTGTTGATTTTCTATCTGGTTTATTTGTTCATTGAGGAAAGTGGGTATTAGAGTTTCCTCTCTCCCTTTAGACTTGATATTTACTTTATATATTTGGATGGTCTCATGTTGGGTATGCACATATTTACAATTGGTATAGCTTCTTGATTAATTGATCCTTTTAGTGATGCATAATGACCTCATTTGTCTCTGTTTACTGTTTTTTTAAGTTAAAGTCTGTTTAATCTGATATAAATCCTGTCATTTTCAGCAATATGGATGGAACTGGAGGTCATTATGCTAAGTTACATAAGCCAGACGCCAAATGTTCTCACTTATTTATGATAAATAATAAGCCAATCTCATAGAAGAATGGAATAGAAGAGTGGTCACTAGAGACTGGGAAGGGCAGGGGCAGTGGGGATGGGAAAAAGTTCAAAAAGGGCACAAAACATAGTGAAGGAATTACTCCTGGCTCTTTTTCAGCACTTCTGGGTAATTATTGGGTAAAACAATCTATATTTCAAAATGACTAGAAAACTACAAAATCCCCAATACATAAAAATGATTAATATTTCAAAAGATGGAAATGCTTATTATCCTGATATTATGTGTCCTATTAAAGATGTACTTATATTATATCTCAATTTAAAAACACCCTGTTCAACTAGCTGTATTGCCGATCTGGATCTACTGTCCAGAGAAATCAATTAGAAATTTACCATGGGACTAATAGAATTCAAGTCTCATCTCTTGGGCAAAGTAAATTGTACACAGCTCCCCACAATCTCCTGAAATGGTAAGTACATTTTTTTTAACCCACTTAGGTATCTGATAGGTTAAATCCTATTTTCCTCTGTTCATTCTAAACAAGCCCAAATTCAAATCCAATTTTTCCCTAATTTCCTATACTGCTTTTGGTATGTTTCACTTTGCCTGGGAATGTGAGGAATATCTAAAATTTCAGAAAATAAGCTTATATCCTTGTGAACCTAGAACACTTGTCATTTGAGACGCTTAACTGAGTTGATAATAATAACCTAGCAGTTATGAGTCCCAGACTAGAAGTAGGAAAAAGTATGGTGGCTGTCCCAGCTTTGAATTCTCACATTATCTGTTAAAAATAGGGTGTTCTGAGCCTAGAAATGTGGAAACAGAAGATTCATTTCACTGTAAAATAGGACAAGGCATAATACAAGTCAGTTACTGACCTAAGTGTTCGAGTTTGATATCACTATCAGAGACACCAAGCCTGGAAAGTTGGATCACTTGAGCAAGGGAAATTCTATGGAGGCTGAGGCCTATCCTTAGCTGAATGCATACTAGCAGATAACAGCAACTCTCATCTAGTCTCCATTTTTTATACTGCTTCAAACCAAATGCTAGAACAGGAGTTAAGACCCTTACTATTGCTGTATCTTTTTTTTAATTATAAGTAAGTTTTGGGGGCCGAGGTTGTGGCTCAGGGGTGGAGCGCTTGCCTAGCATACTTGAGGCACTGGGTTCAATTCTAGGTACCACATACAAATAAATTAAACAAATAATAAAGGCCCATCAACAACTAAAAAATATTTTTAAAATAATAAAAAATAAATAAGTTTAGGCCAGGCTCAGTGGCCCATACCCGTAATCCAAGCAGCTTGGGAAGCTGAAGCAGGAGGACTGCAAGTTCAAAGCCAGCCTCAGAAACTTAGCGAGGCCATAAGCAATTTAGCAAGACCCTGTCTGAAAATTTAAATAAATAAATAAATAAAAAAGGGCAAGGGCTGGGGATGTGGCCTAGTGATTAAGTGTCCCTGGTTTCATCCTTGGTACCAAAATAATTAATTATTTAATTAAAATATGGAAAATTTATATCAGAAATGTGATTCTACATTCTCTCTCTTTTTTTAATCTTTATTTTTTAAATTTATTTTTATGTGGTGCCGAGGATCGAACCCAGGGCCTCACACATGTTAGGTGAGTGCTCTACCACTGAGCCACAACCCCAGCCCTCTACATTCTCTCTTAACCTGTAATTCAGTAAAATTTCTGACTTCCAGGAGACCTTATATCACACTCTGGTTAATCCTACAGTTTGCACAGCCCTCAGGGAAATGATTTTCCACTAAAAAAAAAATGCTAGCATCTGACATTACAATGCCTGCTCAAACCAGAATATTAGGAGTGATTAGCCAGTGAAGGAGAATTTTGGGCCCACCATATCTTAGCTAGTAAGGAAATGAGAACATAAGACCTGGCTTCAGATATTTCACAGAAGGAATTGAGGTTTTCTTGCAGCTCATAAATTTATTAAGGGAAGGTGGTATTTAAGGGCCAATTGGTTTTTATATATTTGACCCTTGCAGCTGTAGTAAGGGAGAGAGCTGCCTGCTTTGTTGGCCATAGGTGATGTTATTCCAGGAACATGCTGAACCCTCTCTTCTGGGTCCCTGTTGCCATGGCTGGGTCCAGCACAATTAGATAGGCTCTACTTCTGTTTCTTGTGCCTGAGCAGGAAGGATGACATTATTTAGGATCTCAGTATAATACGGGCTAAATACCTGCTGATTGTGATGCATCAGAGTGATAAACTTCCAACCCAGTTCTGCCAACTCCCCCTCAATGAAAAGAAGGCCTCCAGGAAAGTCTAGCAAAGACTCCTGCATGCCACGAACCAAACAGCATTTCAGAAACAAATGGATCCTCTGTTCTGTGAGCAGGGAAAAAAAAACAATAAAAAGGGGAATGAAAATTTATAATGCACTCTCTGATCACCAGAGTTTTAAATTAACTGAGTTATTAACCAACCTATCTGCTCATTTGCATAAACCACATAATGAGATTTCTGTAAGCTTTGTTTTGAAGAGGGAATGCCATCAAGCTTTCAAAGATAAAGCATGATCAAAACTCAGTGAGGGCCTTTCTCAGTGGTAGAGTGTTTGCCTAGCATGTGCAGGAACTTGGGTTTGATCCCCAGTACCATAAAAAAGTGAACTAATAAATTTCTGTCTGTTCATAAGATTACTTTAGATATCTATATGTGAGATCACAGTGCACATTTGACCTAACAAAAGGATTCTAGACATCATACCTGAAACTCCAAAGTTAAAGTCCATGTTAAAGTTAGTGCAGCAAGTTCAGACCATAATACAGAAACCAAACTATGATAAGATATTGCAGTTCAGGGCAAACTGGCCAAGTTAATTGTTTCCATTCCACAGTTGCACATTGTCTACAGCCTCATTATCAATCTCATGGAAGACAGTAGGATCCCACATGGTAGCTTAAAGCATGGGATAGAGACAGGGTTTTCCAACATAGATCTTGGGCTATAGTTAGAGAATTACCAGGATGACTTAATAGGGTTGGTGGGATAATAGATCACCCCTTTGAGTTAAATTGGATGTAGATCCAACCTAAAACCATATATTCACTCTTCATATAATAGAAGTCCATTTCAACCCTGCACATAATAGATGAGGAAAGCTAAAGCTAAAATACTTCCTAAATTATCATGTTGTTGCATTCCCCAGTCAAGTTTACCTATCTACCCCACATATTATCACCACTCTTCCCCACCATTATCATAGGAACTCTTACCAATGATGCAACGAATGCAATTCCCTTTCTTGGCAATGTTCTGGAGTTGGCCTATAAGAGATGCTGTATTTTCACTACTCAGAGCAGTGAGGCCCATGTTCTTAAGACCTTTATGAATTTCCTCAGATACCTGTTCACTCACATTCTGCATAGTCTCTTCAGGCCTAGATAATGAAGGATAGAAAACAGAGCAGCCCTAGCATGAGCAAAGCCCAGAAAGCAGCGGCTAAGCCACTCAAGGAAGAATTCTGTTTCTCTACCTCCAGCAGGTGAAATACTTTTGTTGTTACCTTCAAGATATCAGCTAATTCATACATACAATACCATACTCCATCTTCAAAGGAAACAAGGGTTGTTTCCATTCTTGGATCCACTCAATATTATTAGTCTTGTAAACTTTAAATCTGTATTAAGATTTTCTTGGATATTTTCTAACTTACCCAATTAAATAGAAAATACAATAAGAAATGTTTTCTATCCCAAGTTTCAATATAGCTTATCAAAAACTCCGACTATCTTTGGAGATGGTCCCCAAAAGCCTCTGCTCTGTGTGGTTTTCAATGAATAATATTATATTGTCTACCTGTGTCCCAAATGCCCCCATTATTTTCTATTTAAGAAAGATCTATGTAACATACCTGGAGTTAAATTCTTCAGTTAGGGCCTTAGTTATATATTTTATTTTATCTACAAATTCAGGTGAGCTGAATAAAACACTGCCAGAGAAACTTCTTGCCACCAACAAGACTGAGGCCAGGATAGTTAAGCGGTGCAATTTGGACTCCATCTCCCGGAGCCGGATCCTGTCCATCAGCAGAGTCTGGTGAGGTAGAATAAAAACAATCTGTCAGTAAAAGGAGGCAGAGACTACAAAATAACAAGACAACGACCCAACACAGATTCCTACCTCAGGGAATTCTTCATTTCCATGACCCCAGAGAAGGAGGTTCAAGTACCCCTGGTATAGCACCATTGTGAGACTGGGAAGTTCTAGGTTGTTAGGTTCCTGATCTGGAGATGAATAGTCTATGCTGGAGGAGAAGCTGGGAGAGTCAGAACTTGGAAATGGTGTAGTGAGGTCTATGGCTGCTTTGGTTAGCCATTTTGTGGTATAATTGAGAAGATCTATGAAAGAGAAAGGAATATATAATTTCAAACTCCAAGGCTTGAAGATTAAGATTTTGAAATATAGTCTTGGTGAATAAAAAAGTGATTTTGTAGGTTTTCCTGATTTAGAGAAATATCTTTATCCCTACTTCTTCCCTAAGGAAGAAATTTTCTATTTAAAAAACAAAGCAAAAGATAAGAACAGAAAATCACTGTAAGAAAGCAAGCCCAGTGTCGAATTTTCCTCACTCCTGCTCTTAAATTTTTAACATACTGGGCTGTTTATCAAGGAGTTCCTGAAATTTAGCTCGTTCATACTGGACCGAATGTTCCTGGATGTAGGGTCGAAGGCTCTGTATAGTGTAGTTTACCATGTCCATCTTCATCAGACCCAGAACATGGAAGATGCCCCTGTCATAGGGAGAAACAGAATATTTACACCATGAAAAGAAATTCTAGTGTGGAGAGGTGACTCAAACAAAGAATCATATAGTCATAGTACTTAGAGTTAGGTGAAGCCTTTAAGACAATGGTCCTATTACAGTTTATAATTTGGTATGGTTTGGGTGTATCTCCCAAAAAGCCTAAGTTTCAACAAAACTTAATACCCAATGCAACAGTGTTGGAAATGGAGCCTACTGGAAGGTGATTTGCTTATGAGGGCTTCACCCTCATGAAAGGATTAATACTGATTATACAAAGGGTTGAGGCTCTGAGTTTGATCTCCAGTTCTCTCTGGCCATTTGATGTCTTCTACCATCAACTGATGCAGTCCCTCACTTGTAGACTTTCTAGCCTCAAGTACTGTAAGAAATTAATCTCTTTTATTTATAAATTACCCATCCTCAGATATTCTGTTATAGCAACATACAACAGACTAAGACACAAAGGCACTGGCCAGGGACCTAAGGCCACAAACTGAATTGGTGGCAGAGATAAGAACAGATATATTTGACCTCTTAGCTACCAGCCTGAATTCATTGCACTGTAGCTACGCCATCACTTTAGAAAAAGGGAGGAAGAATATCACCAAAATGCTAACAACTATATGTGGATATTTGGAATGTAGGTTGTTAAATTTCTAACCCAGTGGGAAAATCATTTTGCTTTTCTAGGTTTGGGTTCTTCAGTCTAAGAAACAAGAATAACCTTCATTCCTGTTCCCTCATAGAATTTGGGTTAGACAAACAGGAGAACATCTGGGAAAGAGTGGTTTGAAATCTATAGATATAATAATTACTGTACTTTAATGTACATTAAGTTGTCATGTCATAAATGGGGCCTTAAATGTTGTAAAGATTATGAAAGGAACCATGAGAGATTATCATTGTAAAATAAAATTCAACAGTCCAGGAAGAAAAGAGATGTTAGTCAGGTCTTCAGGACAGAAGAGCTAAACAAGACAGGAGTTATATCATAGTATTTGGCTCATAGTTTTCTGGCATGGTATCTAGAATAGATTTCAGGAACAGTACATGCTATGATTTGAATATGGTTTGCCTCCTCTAAAACTCATGTGAAATTTTAATACCATTATGAGGTATTAAGAGGGTGGAAACAATCCAACTATGGTGTTTATAGGTGAGGCCTTTGAGAGGTGATTAGGATTATATAAAGTTATCAGAGTGAAAACCCCATAAATGAATATTAGTGGTTTCATAAGAAAAAAGAACCAGGCATGATGACACACACCTGTAATCTCAGCAGCTTGTGAGGCTGAGGCAGGTGGATTGTGAAAATAAAACAGCCTTATACTAAGCAACTCAGTAAGACTTTGCTTCTAAAAAAAATACAAAATAGGGCTGGGAATATGCCCCAGAGTTCAATCCCAGTACCCAGCTCCCCCCTCCAAAAAAAAAAAAAAAGGAAAAAGAGAGGCTAGGACACATAATCTCTCACTCACAATATGATACCTATACCACCTTTGGTCTGTGCTGGCAACAAGGCTATCAACATATGGGGCTTATTAGCATTGGGCCTCCAAGCATGAGGCAAAATAAAATCATTTTCTTTGTAAATTATCCAGTCTGTGGTATTACACATAATAGTTATAGAAAACAGACTGAGACAGCATATCTAGATTCTCACCTAAGCAATTGTACTGGATCTGTTATGCTCTTTAGATTCTGCACTGCTTCATCTCGAACTGGTGCACATAGCAGGCTCATCAAATCAAGAATAAATTTGGAGAGATGATAAACATTCAGGGCTCCACGCTCTGTTTCCTGTTTGAGGAGATCCATGTCCAGAGCTTTTTCAATCTCATTTCTTAAACGATTCTGGCGTGGTAATAGCAGTGATAGCAAGATCTGCCCAGAAAAGGAAATCAAAGAAACAAATTCTCTTTAAAATCATGAACTTCTTTAGTGAACAAAGCTTTTAGACCAAATGTCTGACCATATTTTTAGGGGATCAGGAATGTGGATCTCTAAATTTCTTAGTATTGTTTCCCTCTGTTTAGGGTGCAATTACAATGCAAGGCTTCATTGGGTTATTTATAGTAGCAGTTATTATTTTCAAGGCAGAATGAGATACAGATAGGAACAAAAGTAAGGGTGTGATAAAAAGAAAGTGCAGGATATGAGAAATACAAAATTCACACCACAACAAAGTATTCTTAATAAAGGATAATGACATTTTAGGTTGTTTTACTCCAAAACACAAGGATGGAATAACCAAAGGATCCTTTAAGGTTCACTTCAAATAGCCTTTTGACTCAAAAGTACAAATTCCCTGTGAACAAAGATATTCTTACTCATCTCTGTGTTTCTGAAGCACATAAAACATAGTAAGAGTTCAGTAAAAATTTATTTAATTGAAAATATATGATGTTTTTATAGTAATATCTAACTGTTCATAATCATCTCATACAAATAAAATAGAAACCACTCTATTCTACCCATGTTCAGAAAGTATGCTGCTTAGGATATTAATAGCCATTAACAATCTAAGGGTCTAGGATACCCAGGAACTTCAAGTCATCTAAAGGAAGGAACCACACACAGTGGTGCACACCTATAATCCCAGATACTGGGAAGACTGAGACAGGAAGATTGTAAAGCCAGCCTGAGAAATTTAGCAAAACACTATCTCAGAATGAAAAATAAAATGGACTGAGGATATAGTGCAGTGGTAAAGCTACTCTTGGGTTCAAACTGCAGTACAAACAAACAAGCAAATAAACAAAACGCAAAAATAACAACAAAAAAACTTGATGGATGGAAGTTGATTACTTACCTCCTTAACTTTTTTCAGAAGTTCAAGGGCACAAGAGAAGTCAGGAGGAGTACTTGATAACTGCTCATGTAGATGTTCCCAAAAAGCATTGTACATTGTCTCCACAAACCTGCTTTCCAGACTGTTAAGAAGGTTAAATGTTCAAATTCCACTTTACTTAGAAAAATAAAATAGGATGATAATTTCCCAAACAACATTTAAAATCATAAAAAATCATTAAATCAACAGACAAGGAGGAACTATGTTTAGATTTGAGAAGGGTTGAATAAACTTAAGTTAGTCTCAAATGCATGGGCCAAATCCTCTCACAAGGGCACCTCGTGGTTCCAGAGACACTCTCTTCCTGCAGTAGAAAGAACTATGAACTAGAGGCTTAGACCCTGAGTTCTGACCCTAGTCCTGCATCTAACTATATGTGAGCTGTTTCTATTTCCATATACTTATACGTTTGAACTAGATGATCTTTTTCTTTTAGGCCTGAAATATGGGGAAAGGTTTTCCTTCTTTATGACACTGAAAGCTCTTTCAAGCACTTCATCAAGTCCAAAAAGGAGCTCATTATTTTCCTGCTTCAAAACTATTCTTTATTTATATTTGGTCCTGCAAACCAGAAAGCTTAGCCTTTTTTCCCTAAAAGCATTACTTTTTAAGTAAAAAGTTATGGGTTTTTATTTTGAAAATACAAACAATACAAAAATAAATGGAAAAAATGTCAGAGTTCATCCTTTAACACACCAATATAATTTGTGAGAAGCCATCAACTATTATCTGTCTGATATATACCAGAGTCCTTCTTAATTCCTTTCTCCTCATCCCTTTTACCCAATTAGTCACCAAATTCCATAGATGCTGCTTTTTACCTGTCTCTGGAATCCATCCCCACCTACTACAATCTCCTACCTGGACTATTGCAAGAGTCTCCTATATGGCTACCCTGCCCCACATGGTCTTACCCCTACCATAATGCCACATATACTTGCCAAACTCATTAATTTTCTTCAGATACAAATCTGACCATGATGTCATGGTCCTTTAAAGTCTTTCAGGAGCTCCCTACCACCAGCTGGACACATGGTCTCTAAAATCCTTCATAATCCTATTCTGCCACCTCTTCTAATTTTGTGCCTCCAACAGTAACATTCTATTACAATGAATGCATAATTGTTTTCTACCATTCTATGCCTCTGAAGAGCCTCTTTCTCTTTTAAGAATCCTTCTCCCTAGACCATCTAAAAAGTGTCTATTCATACTCCAAAATTAAACTCAAATATTACTTTTTTCAGGAAAGTGTTCTTTGACATTCTCCAAGCAGCTAAGCACTAACATAAAACTCCATACACTAGATATGAGAGAATTTATCACTCTATACAACAACTAATTGATTGTCTCCCCTAGAGAAGCTTCTTGATGGCAAAGACACCATTTCACCCATCAAAAACTGCCTTCCACCTAATAAGTATTTAATGTTTGTTGAATGAATGTATGACAATGCAGGCCCTTAAGAGCATATTATTGTACAAATGTATCAAAATAGATTCTACTGTCATGTATAGCTGTAAAGAACACATACTATTTTTTAAAAAACAACAAAAAAGAATATGAAGAGTCTATCATTGTAATTAGTATTGTTTTATAAGCCCAAAGTGAAACCAGTTGTCAATATCTATAGATAATAGATGACCCCAAACTCTATTTCAGCCTTTTTTCTAGTATACTTTGTGCATTACTACACTTGGAGAAGGCTGTTAGTAATAAAGTAATGAAATTCAAGCTATGGATAATATTATTCCACCTGCTTCATTTATTGACATCTCATTACCACCACAGTCCCTGACTACTTTAACAAATCTTCACTCTTCTGGTTTTGCTTTTTGTACTAGTCTAAATCAAACTACAAATGAATTCAATGAAGATGATGCTAGGAAAACCATGTTTTGGCGAAAACTTATTTTAGGGAAATTGCTTGGCCTGGGTCACTGCTGGCGACAGGCAAGACAAATCTAAGATGTGTGAAGATAAAAAAGAACCACTGTCAGACCAAGGTGCTTCATTAACAAACAGACTCACTAAAGTAGCATAACAGAAGCATTTAAAGTTGTAAATTATAAGTGTGATAGAATACAGATTCTTATGAAGAATAACAGAAGCATTTAAAGTGGTAAATTATAAATGTTATAGAATACAGATTCTTATGAAGAATCTAACCATTTAACTATTAATAATCCATTAGAAGCATTCAATTCATACTTGCTGAATGACTCTTATTCATGCACTGAAATATCAACATACTTAAAAGAAACAAAAACAAAGCCTAAGTTTATTTGATTTTATTATTTTAACTTTATTTTATTTTTTGGTGCTGAGAATTGAACCAAGGGCTTCACTATGCCAGGCAAGCAATCTACCACCGTGAGCCACATCCCCAGCCCCAAAGCCTAATTTAAGAAGGGTATTATTTATCAATTGGGTTCTGAATCTGATTCACTAATATCTTTAATATCATAATAATTATGAAGGAGAAATGATCCGTAAAATCTCTTATCACATGAAGAGTACTGAATACCACTATTAGAAAAATGATTATTCAGGGCTGGGGTTGTGGCTCAGTGATAGAGTGCTTGCCTAGTGCATATGAGGTCCTGGGTTCAATCCTCAGCACCACATAAAAATAAATAAATAAAACAAAAGTGTTGTGTCCAACTACAACTAAAAAATAAATTAAAAAATAAAAATGATTATTCATCTGTACCTGTTTAATTTACAAACTATGCCTTCCCATTCTATCTAAAAAGATCTGAAATTCATTCTATATTTCATTATTAACTGAGAGCCTGGAATGAACATTTTGACAGTAATCAGCACTGATTTATTCCTTAATCAAATATAATATGCTGGGCTGGGGTTTTGGCCCAGTGGTAGAGTGTTCACCTGGCATGCGTGAGGCACTGGGTTCAATCCTTAGAAACACATACAAATAAAATAAAGATATATATATATATATATATATATTTCTACTTTTATCCTTTTTAACTAATAATACCAATTGATCTGCTGTTTCATTTGTTGATACTACTCAAGACATAATCAAACATTAAAGTTATTCATAAAATACTTCAAAAATGTTCAAAAAGCCATTGTGGTATGTATCTGTACCAGGAAATATGAAACAGAAAAATTAGAATAGTCTGTACCTGTTTGGAGGTAAATCTTTCTCTTCCACATATAAATCTTTGTTCACTATGATTTCATGAGCAATGTTCAGGTTGGAAACTACATTAACTCTCTCCGTAAGAGGAGTGATAGAAAGTGCTTCTGGTTGACTCTCTAGAAAAAAGCACAGCAATCATCAAAAGGGAACCCATACAAAAGAGAATTTCTATTTTATTCAGAGATCCATTAAGATAAGTAAGAAAAGCCTTCAAATTTAGATTCATCAACACAGATTCACTCAATCATTTCAGTATTGGGGGCTTTCTGAATTCTGCCTTTCAACAACACTGAAAATTCAGAGAAATCAGGCATGAGAAGATGCTAGTTTATTATGAAAAACAGAAAGTGAAACTGCTTTCAAAACCTTCTACCTTAAACATCAAAATAAGCAAAATATAGCAAAGGAATAATGAATACATTGTTGCTTGTAAAATAAACATCTCTATAAAATGTATTGTTGCAGTAATTCACTTGCAGGTCAGCATGGGAAAACAAAGAAGAAGAAGAAGCAGAGCAAGCAAAGCAGCAGCAGAAAAAAAGTCTTTATTGTGTACAAGCAATCTTTTTATAGTATTGTGAACAAAAAAGGTAGCCTTCCAACTTCAATAAATTAGGTCTTTCAGCTAATTAAACATAGCACATAGAAGTTTTACTTTCTAATCAGAAGTGACCCGCTTCTCATGGCTAATCTACTCTCGGCCTGGAGTATGCTGAGCTCTGCTCTTTGTTTAGAATAGATAAAAAATTTTTCTTAGTGCCCTCCTAGCCCACTTGGCAGAACATCCCGTTTGCAGGCAAGTTCTCCCAAGGTCAGCAGACACCTCGTTTTTAAGCATGTTTGTTGTTACCTATCTAAACCTTGAAGAAGCCTCTCGTTTGCGAGCAGGCCCTCCCAAGGACAGCAGACACCTCGTTTGCAAGCATGTCCGCTGTTACTTATCTATACCTTGACAGAATATCCCGTTTGCAGGCAGACTCCATCAAGAACAGTAATAGTAACGCAGTTACATTTGATTCTCTACAATGTATTGTGTTCCCACTATCCATTTCATACCTCTGAAACTACCTACAAGATGACAGTTAAAGTCTCCCTATAAATAATACCATAGGTCTTATTTGATGGTTCTAAAGCTTTTAAAATAGTAATTTCAAATCTGAGGATTCAGCAGACCAATAAAATTTCTAAAATAAATAAGACTTGTTCATTTTATTTTCCCACATATAGACATTCAGACAAAAGAAAAACTCATCCTTCCCCATCTCCCACCCTGTACAAAATTCAATTCAAAATGGATGAAAAAACCTAAAGTATAAGATCAGAAACTCTGCAATTTCTATAAGGAAACACTTCAATATAAAAGCACAGGCAAAAATTTCCTGAACAGGACTCCTTTAGTTCAGGTAGTAGTAGCAAGGAATAAAGATCTTCTGCAGGGCAAAGGAAACAATTAACAGAATGAAGACAGAGCCTACAGCTACTATTCTGACAGGTGACTAATAACCAGAATAGATAAAGAACTTTCAAAACTCAACACATTCAATAAATGGTCAAATGATCCAGACATACTTCTCAAAAGAAGAAGTAAAAATGTCCAAAAATTGTATGAAAAAAAAAGTGTTCCTCCTTAGCCATTGAGGAAATCCAAATCCAAACTTTACTGAGATTTCATCTTGTTTCTGTCAGAAAGCAATCATCAAAAATACAAATAGCAGGGCTGGAGATGTGGCTCAAGCAGTAATGCACTAGCCTGGCATGCTTGAGGCACTGGGTTTGATCCTCAGCACCACATAAAAATAAAATAAAAATGTTGTGTCCACCGAAAAATAAATATTTAAAAAATTCATTCTCTCTCTCTCTCTCTCTCTCTCTCTCTCTCTCTCTCTCTCTCTCTAAAAAAAAAATACAAATAACAATAAATGCGGGAAGGATATGAAAAGGAAAAGAACTCTAGATACTGTTGGTGAAAATGTAAATCAGTACAGCCAATAAGAAAATCATTATTGAAGCCTCTCAAAATCTAAAAATAGGGCTGGGACTGTAGCTTAGTGATATGATCTAGCTACCACTTCTCAGTGTTTATCTGAAAGTCAGCATACTTTCAGATGTATGCATACCCATGTTTATTTCAGCATGAGTCACAAAAGCCTAGGTTTGTATGCCAATAGATGATGAATGAAGAAAAATATGCTATATATACAAAATGGAGTATTATATACCCATAAAGAACAAAATTGTGTCATTTATAGGAAAATGGATGTAACTGGAGATCATTATGTTAAGCCAAATAGTCCAGACTCAGAAACACAAGTATTGTATATTTTCCCTCATATATGATTACTACAGGGTATAAAAGGACATCATAAAGGTAGAAGAGAAACCATTAATATAGAGAAAGATAAGAAGGAGGCAGCAGGAAGAAGGTAAGGAGGGTTACTGAGGAATTAAACTGATAAAATAATATTATATATGCTTGTATAAATATGCCATAATAAAACCCATTATTCTATACAAGTAATATGCACCAATAAAATTACTCTTAAATTTAAAAAATTCACCCTACTGCCAGGTTTCTGTTCACGACTAAAAGGCTCAGGGGTCACGCTAGCTAAACAGGGCTAACTGGGCTGCACGAAACAACCACACAAGTGACACAAATACCTTTTTCTTTGGGGTCACCGTGATGGCTCCTCTGACCTTAAGGGTCCGCAGAAAGAGAGAGAGAGAGAGAGAGAGCATGCACTGACCCCTTTTATTGAGGAGAAGCTATTCAAATGAGGCAAGGGGTCAGGTTTCAGGGGGCTGAGTCTATCTTCATGATGTCCACTGAAGGCAGGTTGACTGACACCTGGGCAGGCCACACCCAAGGGCACAGTAAGAGGAGGGGACACACACAAGGCACTTCCATGGAAGATTCTATCCTAAACAGGGCAAGGGGTTATATTACAAAGGAACAGGTGAGCCTAGCTCCACCCATGGGGCTGTAGCAAGACACACCCTTGTACGAGATACCAACCCTCGAATCCAAGAAGGGTAGGGAAAGCTCTGCCACATTTCTGTGACTGAGCGCCTCAGCACCCAGCCGGGGAGTGTGACTCAGTCACTTGCAAGGTTGGTCTCCCACATATTCCCCCTTTCTTAATATATATAAAAAATTGTAACTGGGAAATTTTATCTTTCAGTCACTTGACTCTTAGTCCGAGGTCATCACAATCTGCTATTGAAACAAAATAGGAATTAGTAGAAAACATATCATCTTCATAACACAATTAAATTGGAAAATCCGGGTTATTATTATTACTTCACCAAACACTCATCAGAAGATTCTTAATCTTTTCCCAATTTTATTGGGAGGCATTGTGTTTTGCCATAGTAACAGACATTCTCATTGGCATGGCATTTAGGCCTCTCCATAAACCACAGAGCAAAGGACTCATTCACATTATTTATTATATTGTCTTTTAGAGCATTATTACTTAGTTTTCATCCATCCATCAGCACTTATCTGACCATGAAGGATCTTGGAAGTAATTTAAATCAAACATTAAGAAAATCCATACATTGTAAGTTTTTTAAGACATAGCCACAAAGGCTGCAATTGAATAAACAAGGAATAATATTTAAAGTAGTCACTTCAGGGATTATGAGACCAGAAGCTTGCTTGGGTCTGCTTAATTGACATACACCTGTTTTAAAGCCTGAATATTAACTTCAGCATATTATAGCTCTGAAACATTAGCTGGCTATAACTAATGACACAATAAGTTGTATTCTTACAGACTACAGGATATTTATCATCCTTTTTTTTAATTCTCACATTTAAAGAGTTAATTAGGTCTGTCGGTAATATAAATGCGCTTAGAAAAATTTATTTTAATAATCTTTCCAACAATTGTCCATATAGGTAAATGTACTCTTAATCACTAAAGTTCAATATAATTGGCTGGCTTTGGTTTCTCATCTGCTGTCTTGCATATGTTTTTGTTACTTGTGTGGTCAATAAGTTGTTCGGCTACCTCAGTCACGGGGGGTGGGGGGGTAGAGACATGGAATCAACACAGAGATTCTGGGAGCTGGTGAGAACTGGCTGGTGACAAATCTCAAGTCAACATCCAGTAGTTTACTTTTGGAATGCACACAACTGTTATAGGGTTCGAGTGGGGTGTGCCAGTCAATCATACATAAGCAAGATAATATCCATAAACCAATCATCTTCTGCCTAATGTAACTGCACTATGAGGAAACTCTAAAACATTGTTGTCATAGTGGAAAGCAATCTGGAAGGGTCTTTGTCCCTAAGGGAAGGGGCTTACTGAGTCAGGGTAGTTTGGCAATGCTAACCACAAGTGCTGAGCATGTGGTTTCATTGATGGCTCGCTAGAGCAGAGCACCCCATCCTGCAAGGTGTTCCTGTCAGGCCTGAAGGAATTTGGATTCCTCAAGCATTCCGAGCTGTTCATAGCTGCCAGTTGTAACTGAAAGTTATTCCAACATTTCCTCCCCTTATATTAAATTTGTTGCCAAAGGAGAACCATAATGAGAGAAGAAAGGAAAAGGGAAAAGCATAGGAAAAAAGAGAAACATCCAGACTTGGCCTTTTCCTGTAGCTGCAGTTGTTTCCTGCTGTAGTGAGCAGGCAGTCACTGTTGACTACGTCTCTGTCTGTCACTTGGGTCCCAATCTGAGCTGGACGTGGGGAGCAAAGCAGCCAGGGGGGAAGGAGACCTCTCTCATAAGGGGTGAAGAATTAGGTGAGGGAGTGAGATTTTGTGCCTCACCTCTGTTGGCCCCCAAGTTTTCTCCTGATGGCCCCTCTGTGACCAAAAAGGCTGTTCCTCCCTTGAGGTTAGTCTTTGACTACCCAGCCATCCTCTGGAGCCAAACAGGGTGATGTGGAGTGTGCATGGCATCGTCCCCAAGAGGGCTCTTTGTCTCCTTGATAGATAATGCCCCCATGGCCTCCACGCCAGCATATACCCTAGGATCAGCAAACTCAGGTTTCTTCTCCATGGAGGGCCCAGCTCTCAGCACTGGGCTGGTGGGGATGTGTTCAGGAAGGAAGGAGACAGGCCATAGACAGACAAACAGTAATATAGTGACAAAGCTGAGAGACATGGATAGATGAAGAGGAGAGCAGTGCTAAGACTCAGGACATGATCCCTCATAGAGAACTGGGTCTTAGCTGGTGTTACTCACATCTGGTCCATAGCCGCCATCCATATGGATGTGGAACAATCCATTATTTCAATACTGTCTTTTTCTCAAAAGATACTTCCAGACAGTCTGTTTACCATAGAATCAATATATAGGTATAACTGACCATTACAGTCAGGACAATTAATCTAGTTTCATAGGTGGACTTTCCAGTCCACACTGCAAGACACATTAAAGGTGGACATGGGAAATGGGTCCATACAAGTCTTTTTATAATTCTTACTTACCTGACAAGCTTGTGAAGCTGCATGGCTATAAACTCTGTAGCTGAAAGTTTACCTTCCTGAGCCAGGTTTCTCAGTCATGATCATGATGACTGGTTTAAACTTTCCTTTGATATCTGATTTAATTTACTGAATTGTGTTCAATAACATTAAGACTCTCAATATTATAATTTTAAGAAAAAAAATTAAAATATTAAAAATATTTTATAAAATCTAGTGTGTCTCCCTGGGGTCCCGTATTCCCCTTTTTTATTTAATAAAATTGAGTAAAGGCTTGGTATAAGTCATAGTCTCATCAGTTTGAGTTATAAATTATAGTACAAATATTTAAATAAGAATAGATTAACCTTTTATTGATTATTATAATTTCTCAATATAGATAAGTGGATTTATCCTAACAATTTAGAAATAACTCTCAATCTCTTTGAGAGAAGGTCTCAAAATATTTTTATATTTTAGAATATTATTTCTTTAAATAGGTATCTCTCAATCGTCTTTAAAAAATATGATTAAGGTTATTTCCCAGTGTAGGGAGCAGTATATAAATCTTACTGTATTTTTTATAGACAATAGGCCCAGCTAGAGAAGTTATATAATATCAATGAATTTTTTAAAGTTTGTAACCTTTATTGCTCAAAAGTAACATACAACTTTAATTTGGAGAAACTCAGTCCTAATAAAATGTTTTTCCAAATTCATATAATTATCTAACAAACAAAATATAAGAATTAACAGTGTCTTTGAATCAATAAAATTTAGTCTCCAAGAATAATTGTCAGAATTGGGATCTAAGTTAGCAGTTTAATATACTTAGTGTTTAATCAACGATGTAAATTTATTTACCAAAATTAATCTTTGTCTTAAATAGCAAGAATCATTACGCAATAAAGACCTTTTTTAAAAGAAATAAACTTAACATTTTAATAGGTTTTTATCATGCAAAATATGGACAAAATCTTAGCTCCCATTAGTATAGTCAAATTAGGAAAATAGTCTGAAATATCCTTGAATTAATCATTTAAAATTTTTATAGTTAGTCTGGTACATATAAATCTCTTTTTTAATTGTTTTAATTTTTTATATCATTTGGTTAGATAATATAAATATTTTTCTATTTAAAAATATGTTTATCATTAAAATTTAGAAATATAAAGACCTTAATTTTACTCAAAGATGATTTATTTATAAACAAATTATTATACTTTGATAAGAAATATCAATGAAAATCGTTAAAATCTTTGGATATTTCTGTAGACAGAATTATATTTGTTTATCATCTTATAAGTTTGTACAATAACTTAAGAATTAGATACTACTTGAAGAAGGTATTTTTACTTAAAAGCAAATTTATAGCAAAATATATTTATCTCAAATATCTAACTAAAAGGCAGAGTATCAGATAAATGTACATATAAAATGTATAAATTATGGGTTTTCTGTTGAAGAAAAAGAATTAGACAAATACATATTAACTAAGCAATTAGATATGAGCTAATTATTTATAGATTATCAACCATAGTTTATCTAAATATCTAGAAAAATATATATTAAGAATAAGGAAAGGGTTGTGCTTGGTAGAGTGCTTGCCTGGTGCTTGGGAGGCACTGGGTTCAATCCTTAGCACCAGTAAAAAATAAAATAAAGGTATTGTGTTTGCCTACAATGAAAAAAAATACCACACCCTACCATCAAAAAAAAATCATTTCATATAATGTATCTTCGGTACCCCCAAAAGCACAAATAAAATCAGTCTTAAAATAGACTTAAATCAACTTAACTTTATTTTTAAAGTTCATTATATCATCTTTTTTGTCTTATTTCATCAATAATGGTAGCAATTATGCCACAGATCAGTTTAAAATTAGGGAGGCCAAGGTTCTAAGTTTATTATACAAACTACTTACAGCAGTAATATACAGCAAGCACATTCAGTAGTTAAAATTATTACTTGGTATATAAAATAAACATGCAATAAAACTATTTTCTCATTCACTTTCAATGTAGATTCATAATTTGTTCAGAAAGAACTGTTTTTCTCCAAGATATAGTAAAACTCACATATAAGAATCCTAAAATGCCTCCAATATGGTCTGCTTATGTACATTTATTTTTCATTCAAAAATAGTCTTTAGCCAGGCTTGGTAGCACATGCCTGTAATCCTACAAACTTGGGGGGCTGAGGCAGGAGGATTAAAAGTTCAAGGCCAGCCTCAGCAACGTGGTGAGGTCCTGAGCAACTTAGCAAGATAAAAAAATAAAAAAGACTGTGGATGTGAACCCCTGGGTTCAATCCCTGGTACAAGGAAAAACAAAAATTTTTCAATACAAGTCTCACATTTCCTTTTTACCCTAACATTTAAAAAGCTACATGTGTTAAAATATACTATCTAATCAATATATTTAGATATTTAAGAGGCACTATAAAATAAGAATTATGCTATTCCATTATTCTGTTTAATAGCAGAAACCTTAAGTGCCCACCAAATAAACATATATTTCAATACAATAGCATCATGGCCTCCAACTCTTATTTTTCTTCATTTCAATCTTCAAGAGTTTAGATCAAGTTGTTACCTTTGGACAGGTCTGCTGATTAATGTTCAGTGATTTTCACAGAGGTTATTAAAGGATTACAATTTGAGTTCTTGTGAGGGTAGACTATCAAACCAAAACCTCAAATGACTAACATAAGATATAAAAGACCTCATATCCCAATATTTACATGAAAACACTGTTATTACACACCTAAAAAATTTTTACCCAGAGTAGTGATAATTTATATGTCAACAAAGCACTCCTTGAAAAGGATACAACACAATTCCAGCACCAGATACTTTTTTGTTTTGAGAGAGAGAGAGAGAGAATGAGAGAGAGAGAGAGAGAGAGAGAGAGAGAGAG